GTATGAATATGGGTTACTTGATAGTGATCATTGTTAATACCTTAAAACACTCGAAATGATGCATAGAGCGAGACTGCGCTCCTTTTCGATACAAAGTTCGCTTGTTCTTGTAGATGCAGTTGTCAACTGCCGGGCCGATATGGCCGACAGTTCACCGACAGTTAAGTGTCACTGGGACCTCTTTCTTCACATAATTATTCGTATTTCTCTGTTGTAGGCTCTTCTCGTGCCGAAGCACTTCAATCTGATGTCGCTACTCCGCTCGACTCCGCTTCGTCCTGACGGAGTTACTCTGCCTTGCATGTCTGCGCTGTTGTCCGTTGTCCCGCTTTTCGAGTCGCGCCAGCTGCTTATTTTTCTGTCCACAAACCTTGAATTAGGGGGGATAAGGGTGGGATGAAGTGTGTTGTGTATCGTGGTGTGTGGTTGGTGTTGCACGTGCATGCTGCTGATCGGCTCTCCCAAGTGTTTTAAAGCGTTGTTGACGTTGCAGGTGGGGGGTCCTGGACATCGCCAGCGCTGACCGTCCGCTGCCCTCAGCCAGCCGATCCGGTATGTGGGTCGGATGTGGACATCGTGGAGAACAAGTTCTACGTGCTGGAAGACGTTGCAGACGGGGGTGTCGGCGAGCAGCTTGGACTGGTACTGACCGGCTGCTACTCGCTCAATGGCGTGGAGGCTGACGTGGGCAGTCATGAAGGACGCGAGGACGGCGAGGCCCTGGAGCAGCAACCCCAGGCCGGCGACGGCGACCAAGAAGCGGTCAAGGATGATAGTGGCTCTGAGGGCAAAGAGGAGCTGAATGGGGGGCAGCGGACAGTGCGGCGTGCCCAGAGCGGCAGAAAGACTTTTGAGTGTGGTGAATGCAAGAGGCGGTTTAGCCAAAAACATCACCTCGATAACCACGTCAGGACTCACACTGGGGAGAAACCATTTGAGTGCGACATTTGTAGAAAATGTTTCAGCATTCAAAGAAGTCGTGATCGCCACGTCTTGACGCACACTGGCGAGAAACCATTTGAATGTGCCGTTTGTAACATGCGTTTTCACAGGAAGGACATTCTTAGTGGCCATATCAGGACCCACACTGGCAAAAAAATATTTGAATGTGACGTGTGTAACATGCGATTCATTTCAAAATGGAGCTTTGTTTCCCACGCCAGGATCCACACTGGGGAGAAACCATATGGGTGTGACATATGTAAACATCGCTTTAGTGTCAAATCAAATCTCCATCGTCACCAGAAATCGCACCGTACTGGTGCGGACCTGTGATATTTGGTAAATGCAAGTAGCCAGTTAGTCTAACTTTCGCTTACGTGTGTTAATTTTGGTGTAGTTTCCTTGAAGTTTCACGTTTTATTTATGTAGAGCGAAGGCCGACACGACCGCCTCATACGTCATGTCGTTTTTGTGTTAGTTCCTATTTATGATGAAATAAAAATTTCGTAATCAAATTAAAACAACGCACGTCACTTTCCTTCATTACCAATTACACGCGGCACACATGGAATGAAGATGTTGTTAAACAATGGTTGTGCAATGCTATTTGGATGCATGGTCACGCTCGAGTATCGCTCGGTCTCCAGCAGAATGGTGAAGAGCGAGGGTGTATGGTGCATGCTGGTGACGGCTGACGCGTTGCTCTTGTTACAGACGGACTGAATTGACCTGCGCTCACCGCCCACTGTCCTGTGCATGCTGGTAGCGGCTGCCTTTTCTTTTCGGCCCTCCGAGGTGTTCTGACGCTTTGCTCTTGTTACAGACGGAGAGTCCGAGTACCGTGATAGCGACCGTGCTCTGCATCCTGGTGAAAGCTGGTTCTTCTTTCCGGCTCTCCGAATTGTCACGTCTAGTCAATGCAGGCCGAAGGCACTGTAACACTTACGACCTGACAGTGTCATCCGTCATTCCGTTTTGTTCAGTTTCACTGTATGGTTAAATTGTAGTTTCGAACTTAAAATAAATCCATGCACCTTCACTCCTAATAACACTGTGCACACATGTAGTTGAACAATATTTGTGCAACGCCTCTTGTATACACGGCATTATCCGCACACGGACTCTGGCAGGAACATGTACAGCGACCCTGCACGTGCATGCTGGTGATGGCTAGCTCTTCTT